CTGGCTGCTAAAAAAAATGAACCAAAATGGTTCTTTATTAGGAAATCTTTCTCAAGTTTTTAGTTAATACCTGATAAATACCTTGTTAAAAAGTTCTCAAAAGAGTAATTATAACGTGACGTATTTTGAAAGTGCATCAAAACTAAGCATTTATATCAAAGTCCAGAGCAATCAAACTCATCCACATAAAACCCACAATCAAATTTAAAGGGACAGATGCTGCATTTTGAGGGTTGATTTTAGTATTAAATATATGTAATAGTCTTCAGAAGTACTAGAAATGTATGAAAAATCACATAATTCCTTTAAAATTACTTCAAACTAGGAATTTTACCCATTATTTCGATATATGTCTTTTTTATATATAACACAGAGTAACTTAAATTGACATTCAAATACAGATAATTCTGGACACATGGATTTGAAGGCTCAAATTTCAACGGTGAGCTGTAAACACTATTACTGATTGGCTTAGCTTAAAAATTCCCGTTTCTGAGACTAAAGTATGATCCACCTGTTCCTTTAACAAAATCTGTTGCAACCCATTAATATATTGCAATAATCATTTTTTTCAAACTCAATTATAGTAAATAAAACATAGAGGATTTCCAAGAGTAAAAATGGTAAAAGATTAGGCCTAAGAGTTTACATTTGGAAAGCGAAAACGACAGGATATCAGTTAAAGAATAGAATGGTTACAGAATCACTGAATACAATATTGATTGAAATATATGTCAAGCCATATTAACCATTAAATTCAGCTCTGATCCTAGAAGCCTGCGTCTGCTAATATCTTAATCGTTTCTTGTCATTAAATGTCTCCTGTCCTGTAACGGTCAACTCATTGCTGACCAGCTCGTGGAATGGATGCCTCATTACTTGATGACCACTCAGGAATGATTCCAGTCACTTGAGTGGACAGATCTGATCTTTATGAGTGGTCAATTCCCGAGGACTACTGGACACTACTGGTTGTAAATGTCAAATGTATTGGTCAATGGTCAGCATTAAAGTTGGTAATAAATGTCCACTACATAAACTGACCATAACAATAATCTATTCTGTGATCAATGTTAGAAATGTTGATGTCTGCTGGTCATAAAATTGGGTTAATAAAACTGGTCTGGTCATCTCTGCTGGGAGAATTGATGCAAATAATCCAATGTGTTTCTCTGGTAGGCTTGAAAGATTGACAGTCGTCTGTTTCAAAATTTCAAAATCTGGAAAAATCAATTTACCCATATATAATGCCCGCACTCCTTCCTTACCCCATCAAAATCGGGAAAAATCCATTTACCCATATATAATGCACACCCCTTGTTTACCCCATCAAAATCTGGAAAAATCCATTTACCCATATATAATATAAACCCCTTGTTGACGAAAATTTGAGGTTGGAGATGGCATAGCGCAGACACCAAAATCGTGATATTTTATAATGGCCAGAAATTTTAATGTCTCTCTTTTCTAAGGGTAAGGATTGTGACTAAAATGATGTCCTTTCAAAAATACAACCTATATAAAATTCTATGCAGAAGATAACCCAGCAGACGGACAATTTAGTGAGAATGATAATAAATGTGACAACAGCTCTTTAAAGAAAAGAGAAAATCCCCTTGAGACTAGCTAGTACTGTTCTACAGTATAATTCAGATAGTACTAAATCATACAATATAAATATTAATAATTTTCCTGTAGTCACAGTTTCTGACACCTCCATCTTAACACTTTGTTCATCTTAAATTCACTTTTGGGTGTGGAATAGTTGACACATTTTATGCCTCAACACAATCTTTTGGGACCTAATTAGCCAAGACTACAACATACTAAAAGACTCCAGAGTTTTATGGCTCCCAAGTCATTTCCAATCAAAGGTCAGGATTTAAATCTTGTGGTCGAAAGCTGTAGTTGAGCAAATACTTCTGCACATCTTGGCGGATCCAAAATATACTTACAAGCAGTTTAGGTAGTTAAAAATAAAATAACATAATATGAGTCGTCTTATCAATTTCTTTTTGTACCTAAAGAAAAATGCGAACTGCTTGTGCTTATGATTAAGAGACCTGGATGTACACATATTAGAGCTACAAAAATTTTGACTTTTGGTCTGTGGATTATACTTTCTTCATAATTTTGTTTTGAATTTGTTTTTTCTTGACAAAACTCACTACAACAATAGGACCATAAGTTCTTTATATTATAAATTATAATCAAATTTGTGAGTGTATCTAACTTTAATCTAATTTTAATCAAAATCTCATTGCCTGGAGGATTAAACCCACCCATCACAGTAAGTCAAAGTTTTGCAGACAACAATGGAAACATCTGCCAGAAGCTTCAAGAATTCCCACAGAGATCATTAACTTTTCTCTGTCCATTCTGGCTGTAATCACCAAGTAATGGTCACTGGTCAGTACATACTGCAAACCACTGGTCAATATTCGATTCATACCTAGTGGACAGTGTCCAGACAGATTAAAACTCAGATGACCATAAACATTTCAACAATAATAACAGACTTTACACTTATGGACCCAACCACTCAAATCAAAAGGCCATTATGAACTGTTAAAATTTGACTTGAGCAATCTTATCTTGAATTCTATGACAATTAAAGCCCTCTTTAAGAGCTATTTAAAAGGCCATAAAATTGTCACACATTAAAAAAAATTCAAACTGTTTAATGATTTGTTTTTTCTGGTGGCCATCAAAATGTGTTAAGTTCAAGTTTCACTGCATTCAATTGTTTATATTTTGGTTGTCAAGGACATTAGAGACGGTAAGTGTAATGTGCCCTCTAACACTGAAGAGCTCCGACTTCAACATCTAACCAAAATTCTGGCAATAAACATTTTGATGTATGTCTGACTGATCTGCATTTGATTGGGCAAACAAAGGCAATGGTGTCATGCAGTGATTAATGAGGTAAATTTTGCCAGGAAAGTAGCTGAAGAATATGAAATGGAGTTGGTGTAAAAATGATCTGCAAAGCCTTGCAACATCATACTGTATGCCTAGCGCGAAATTAATAGCAGTAACCAGTCCTAAATGTAATGTAGTTTAGTTTTAGGAAGCAAACAGTGGGGTCAGATAGGATTTTCCACCAACCTTTTAGATGTACACACTGAAAGTTTCACCTGCTTTACAAGGATTAACTTGAATTTGCCAGCAGACAATAAGCTGGCCATTGTGGAGTCCAGTTTCTTTTATTTCATTTTCTATCAAAAATAAATCATATAGTCTGTCAGCCATTGTTGATCTGAACAATGGACATTAAGAAATTGGTCATGAATTTTATAAAAGTAAATAGAACAGGACTCATATACTTAATGCAGTGCTTATCCCTTTGGCTTTGCTTTTGGCATGTTTCATTTAATTTTAGACTAGGGTTTGAGAAATTATTGTAATTTCTTAAAAAAAATTATCAAAACTGTAGTTAAATATTCCCTCTAGACTGTTATCACTATATATGAAAAATTTGCTTCAATGCCCACTAAGTGTTTTGTATCTATTTCGATACATATAAGTTGGCTAGAACATTTCATTTCCTTAAAAGGTATAAAATAATATGTAAATATTATAAAAGAAAATCTGAATAATAACAAAAAATTCTCACTGTTAAAACAGTACTCAATATATCAATTGTAGAGTGATATAGAAATACCACTGTTAAAATAGTACTCAATATATCAATTATAGAGAGATATAGAAATACCACTGTTAAAATAGTGCTCAATACATCAATTGTAGAGTGATATAGAAATACCACTGTTAAAATAGTGCTCAATACAACAATTTTATAACAGAAAAATATCTTGCCATAGTTTGAAAATTTGGATCAAACTACAAAATGTTTTCTTCTAATGTCCAGTATTAGACTTGAATCTATGTTTGATAGAAAGTTTGTTATTTGACCACTCTCTAGTGACCACTGGTCTATATAATTTCCCATACATGATCTCTAGTGGGAGGCTTGTTTGGTCAATAAAGTAATTTCATGTTATAATATACTTCCCTATTTATATCTTCAGTATATATTTATATATCACTATTACTAGGGATTAATAGGACCATATAGCAGGAGTATTCTATTTCTTCAGTCATTGCTTCAAAGCATGAAATTTGATATACCACCAATTTAAATATCTATGACATTTGCATTTTTTGGCTGGTTAAAGCCCAACCTATTGCATCACCTGATACCTCTCTGTATTGAGATTCTCTTCAGAAAGTCTCTTGGGTTAGTTCATATTCTTTACAGGCAGGAAAAAATATTTAATCGACTGGCCATTGCTTTCCAATGGCAACAGGCAGACAAAGAGGCTCCATTGCTGGAGATTCGATGCTTTGGGTTCGAATCTGCCTAGAGTCTGAAACCATTAAATGCCATTGTGAGTATTTTGAAGAATCTGTTTAATTTCAATCTTACAATTGATTTTGAAGACATGATAAAAATCTGCCATATTATGACAAACGATCCAATGATTTTTTGGTTTGTTGAAATAACCAGCAAGAGCGATGTTTTTGACCTTCAGAATCAGATGCAAGCAAGCACTAAGACTAGCTATAAATCCAAAATTGATGTATTCCATACCTTCAATGACCTTCAATTAAGAAGAGTCAAGGGGTTATGGTCCAAGACAACAGACAAGTGGACAGCAGGTCACCAGAAGACAAGATCAATGTGTAGTTTAGATACAAAACTCATTTGTCTGATAACATTGTCATAAAACTCTTCAAAATCTCATCCATTTCTGTTCTGTGGACATTTTTAATAATTTGATATTGGGAACTTTATCTTGGTTTCCATTACCAAGATGATTCAAAGGTATGCCGCATGAGTTAAAATATTTCCATGGGATTGCCAATGTTACCATGAAATCGATTCTAGATTTCTCTATAAAAAGCAAACTTCAGGCTTAAATTTACTGATTCCAAACACCAAATTATTCTTGTATACATGTATCACTGTACATATGAAATGTGGCTATTTGGATTACCTGAGCCATTGGTCCCCTGGATAATATCAAAGTATTGACTGCTTTCACATGTTAATGAGTAAATATCAAAACAGAACCTGAAACATGTTGTAACTAGTTCTACTATATTTCTATATTGCTTTACAATCAATGCATAGAGCATTTTTTCAACTGTGAAAATATTGTATTTTACATCTACATTATTATATACAAGCAAATAGTATATACAGTTATACAGGTAAAAAATATCATAGCCTAATTCAAATCTAATATGGATGAGATATCAAAGGCATCAATGCTTCTACTAGAACTCGCTTTCAGTAGAAATTAAAAAAAACATTAACTAATATTGAACCATCTATTGTTAAAAATTTGAACATAACACAAATCAAACAGACAATGAGTTTTGAAGCTAATTGAAAATAGTAGAGAGATGTCCTGATTAGCTGTGAAGAGAAACTAAAGTTGTTAAACAATTATTTGAAACCCAACTTTTTTTTTTATCTCATATGAAATCTATTTGAGAACAAATAATTGTATTGAAGTCTTGAACACCTGATGTCACTGGCTTAAAACCTTTGGATTCGCAAAAAATTTGTCCAATATTCAAGTCACTTTCACTGAGAAATATGAGTTTTATTACAATGCACAAAAGAATGTAAAAAGCTGTTGCCTTCTTGTAATCCCAATATGCTACCATTAGAAAATTAGATTTTTCATAATTTTTTGTTGAAAGCAGAAGACAGAATCAATGTTTTTTTTCCAGTTTCTCTGTTGGCAAAGATCATAACACCTGCTGACAATTACTGTGCTTTTGGTCTCCCTGTTTCTAATTAGGAAATTAGATGTAATTTTCCTTCATGTTTGTCATTAAAAAGATTATAAAACCAAAGACCCCTACCATTTCCAGCCTCCAGCAAACTTCAGCTTAATGGTAATAAGACTAAAACAAAATAAATATAGCATTCACAAAGGGGTTTCTGTAATCAGCTATAACCTTTGAAATATTGCTAAACTGCCTGGGGCTAACAAATCAAACTTACACTTAATCTGGAAATGGTTGTTGAAAATACAGAATAAGAAATTTTGCCAAATGCAATTTGCTAAATGAAAATACCACCATATTTGCTTAACCAAAAGTATTACCTATGACAAAAATGCCCAAAAGAGCCAGCCTTCAATTCCCTAAGCGTTGGAAACTGGATTGAACATGAGCATTTTCCAGATTTCCAAGCTACTTGGAAAGCATCAATATAACTCAGCCACTGTCCTTGAGAAAAAGGAAAGGAAAGCTGATTAATTTCAAAATCACTAGAAAAAATTCTGGTAACTAAGACGTTTTCAGAATTTTTACAACGCAAAGTTAGTTGTGATGTAATACTCTAAAATCATTATCAGATTACATTCTTAAAACAGTGCAGAAACAGCACTGCTTGCTGGGAACTGTGTAAGAGTCAGTAATACAAAGAGCAAACCCATGATGACACAACTTGTAATGCACACACACACGAACATGCATCGCAGGTCATAAACAAAAGATTACAAGCATTGCTCTATCTAATTTCAGGAGATGTTTTCAATGAAACAGTCTCAAAGCCTTGAATAATAGTTAAAACACAGTGATTCCTTTTATGGTTCTCTTCAAATATTTGCTCAGTTGCACCGTGATAAGAATGGCCTTTCAGATGGTCTCCAAACCCTTTTCCTTCTTTCATCTTTTCACCCAAAGTCTTCCATTGATCCACTCTTCCTTTTATAGAAAAATTGTCTCATTGTGTTGGTTGAAAGACAAGATCAGATTTTCATATCAAAAGTTTGACAAGTTCTCTTGCCTGACAGACGACCTAACCTACAACCAAGACTATGCCAACAAGACCACTATTCGATCACATCTTTCTCAGAAGTTTTTGTTAGCAGACGCAATTTGATAAGCAGTCATTGGTTTACGCTTACAAGAATCAAATTTGAATTGAAGCTTACAATTTCTTCTAAAAACAGCCATTTCCTACTCATCGTTATGCACTTTCCAATGATTTATTGATTTCTTCTCCTACATCTTTGCCGATTCTTTTTTTTTATTTTCAACTGATGTTGTCAATTTGTAAGCAGACAGCTGTAGAAAAATACCAAACGACTTAGTTTAACAGGCTTGATTTCACTTGTCATTGCCATAGAAAACAAGTGTTAAGGATTCAGACTACCACTTCTGCAACTTGAGTCTGATTTTCCTCACAGTCAATCACAGTGGGGGATTATCACCCAAAACACATGTAGACAATTACCCCCTAATCAGATTAGTGGCCCTATAAATTTCGGTAAGGAGGGAGTCATGTGGAGCTTTTCACTGATAATTGAACATTGACATACTCCTTTAAACACGCCCTTTAACCTTGAAACACTTGGGAATACTTGTCTTTTTAACAAGCAGACACCTCATATCCTTATATCAGAGAAACCATGCTTCTCTTGTCCAAAAGAATCTAGTTTACGGTGACTTTTTTGGGCTCTAATTGCTTGTGAAAAGAATTGTTTGTTACATTTAAGTATAAGTTATGAAAGTAAAAGAGATCATGTTCTTTTGACATTAAAACTACAGGGTAGCCATTTTGAACTAGTTAAAGTATCGTCTGTATCTTGGTAAAGAGCCACTTAACATGTATCATCTGATACCTATAAAACATTTCTGTCACTTCAAACTGTGTGATTTGACCTTCCCTTAAGGAGATTACAGCTCACTGATGATTCTTTTCATGACTGGAGTCTTATGACAATACTTACTTTTAGACCTACATATTACAGAGCAAATACCTCCACTTTTGTTCATCTCTGAAGTCTTTATGCTTACTCTTTTCGGAACACCTGATGGTACTTCTCTTTGGAGGAGTCCACTACTATACAACTTTTACTTTTCAATTTGGCATTCTTTGGACGAGATTTTGATTAACAGAATTATCTTGCTGGTACGGAGTTTTATTCTATATATACGAAAATTTGCCTCATTAAATGAAGTCAAACCTGAAGAGAGATTTTGACTTTTTATCATTATCCAATATATTAAATAATTATATACATTATGGAGCATCAAAGATTAGTTCTCATGTGGGACTTCCAAAAGGAAAGGAAATTGTCAAAACAAGTCATAAAGTGGCATCAATAGACAGAAGTCTTTGGAATATGTGTGACAGAATTCAAAGTCTAAAAAATATGCTCAATAAGTCAACAAATTTGACAGATGGCTTCCAAATTAGGCAACCACATGGTGCAGAAAAGTAGGACGTGAAACTCATTTTTCCAAATTAGGCAAGACACACCTTTTTTCAATCAAATGTTTTTGAATATTAGTGCCTTTCAGACATCAGTCAAAGATATAAACCGAAGGTGCTCTCCAAGGATTCTATTTTATGCCTGATACAGTGACTAGTTTTCATTAAAGTTTCTAATGATATATATATATATAGAAGAGAAAGGACACCAATGAACTCTCTATTGACATAACGCATTTAATAACAGGGTCCCTGGAGACAAAGAGAAAGAAATTTTTCCACAACATTAGATGTAACTTGGCACTGTTATTTCTGTCCTTCTAATCGATTTCATATTTTTTTTTACCCAAGAATATCTTTTCTTCCTAATATTTAATTAATTCATTTTCAACCAAATTTTTTCATCCAGAAAAAAAACGGCATATGTTTCTGACAGAGCTTGCAATTTTAATTGGAATATCTTCAAACATGATCATTTTTATCTTCTTTTTTGTACTAAGTAAAAACTGATATCTTAATGATAACATCTTGTGGCTTCAAGATTATTTTGCTAATGATAGAAAGTTTTTAGATGTATATGCAATGCAAACAACACCAAGCACCCTTCAAAACATAATTGCTTCCCATATTTTCTTTCAAACTGTTTTTCTGATTATAGCAATGCAAACGAGAGCAAAAATTTAAGAAATAGTCTATCTATAATAGTTAATAATTACTTATGTAAGACAAATTGGTACAAGGAAGAAATATGGAGTAGGAGTCTGTAAGAAATGTAGAACTTATTAAAGGAGCACCATCACTATCAGTTCGACCAATCATACCTTAGTTTCAGAAACATGAATTCTTTTAGCTTCCATAATAAGTAATAGTGTTCACAGCTCATCGACGAAATTTCAGCCTTCAAATCCATGTGTATCCATAATTATTCTCGTTTGAAAGTTAAAAATTCGACTTGACTTTTAATGAGACTATGCAATATATAGAAAACACATATATAAGAATATACAGTGAAATTTCTAGATTGAAGTATATTTGAAGGGATTATGTTTTTTGTACTTCTTAAGACCATTGAAGCACAATAAAAACCCCAAAAAAAACCAGAAAATGCCGACTGTTCCCCTTTAAGACAAATGAAGGTAAATTAAGATGAGAGTAAACACGTGATTTCCATTATTCCACTCGAGTCTATAGTTTATTACAAGTAGGAAATCCCACAATGTTTAAACTATACACTTTAGTCTAGAGTTTCCATCTCTTAACGACAAGAAATCAATGGAAACAGGGTGAATAGGGTCATGACGCAACTTTATTGTTTAATCTATCAAATGTTGATCTCTGATACTCTGAAAGTAATGTCATTTCTCTTTCTAATCTTCTAGTCTGAATCTTCTCCGTAGATGATTGAAGTAAGATAAGCAAGTAGCAGTAGGCCTACCAGAATTACACCTATACCGGTAGTCAGTGGCTCAACTGCTTGAACCAAGCCCACAGACTCCCACCTATAACAGTGCCCCACCCCTAAAAGAAACATGAAGGAGAGCATGCTTTTCAAAAAGAATTTCCCGGGGGAGGGGCCCTACATAGGTCTAACAGTAGCCACTCATTTAGTTGAGCCAAACATCAAAGTATAATATACAGTTATTCTTGTATATTATGATTCATCATGATACACTCATTGCTGTATTTGACTGTGTCATGATATAACTATTGTTTATTGTATTCTATTTGCCTATTGCTGTATTAATCTACAGGTGTATTTAACATAGT